CCAACATTCGATATATGCTGCATGGAAACAGTGATGTCGAAGTCGGGTGGTAAAACCAAATGCTGTGGTACTCTAAGCTACAATCCAACATTCGATATATGCTGTGAGGAAACAGTGATGTCGAAGTCGGGTGGTAAAACCAAATGCTGTGGTACTCGAAGCTATAATCCAACATTCGATATATGCTGTGAGGAAACAGTGATGTCGAAGTCGGGTGGTAAAACCAAATGCTGTGGTACCCGAAGCTACAATCCAACATTCGATATATGCTGCAAGGAAACAGTGGCATCAAAGTCGGGTGGTAAAACCAAATGCTGTGGTACCCGAAGCTACAATCCAACATTCGATATATGCTGTCAGGAAACGGTGCAATCAAAGTCGGGTGGTAAAACCAAATGCTGTGGTACCCGAAGTTACAATCCAACATTCGATATATGCTGTAAGGAAACGGTGCAATCAAAGTCGAGCGGTAAATCCAAGTGTTGTGGTACCTGAAGCTACAATCCAAAATTTAATTTGTGTTATAATGGCAGAATCTATTGGTGTTATGTGTGACAACCAGTTAAGCAATTGAGGCATAATAATACAAGTATTAATATAGTAATATCAAGCTTCCTCGAAATTTGTTTCGCGAGGAACGATTGATAACTTTAAGTTTAGCCTAACCTCAACTTTAGATATATACAATTATTGAAATGTAATTGTTCATTTGATTTAATAGCTGAAATTTCAGTTCATGTTATAAATTAATTATGAATTTCTGCCAAGATGTATATATGTGCGTATCTTTAATCATGGCGTGTCACACTTTCTGCGAATTCAAGTTCTTTTGAGGAGGCTCCCTACAGTTTCCAAAATATTTCAGTGTTTTAAATTGAAGGCGATTTGAATCTCAAAAACTAATTTTTTACACAACCGATTGTAAAACTTCATAACGACGTAATTTCTGCAATAAAAAAGGTAGGTCACCGTTGTTATTTGTCCGCTAAGACGCCTTTTTTGTTTGATATAGGGCATATAGATGATGACGTCATGTTGTCATGTTGTCATGGTAACATGAAGAGTTGCGACTTTGTGTTAAAATTACTTTTTTTATAAGAGGAAACAATGGGTTTTGACAAAAATTAGTTTTTGAGATTCAAATAGCTTTTAGCTTAACCCATTGAGTTGCATTGCACCCTGATGCACCCTATACTTTAGTATTTTACTCTGTCTAACGGCAGACGATTTTACTCGTCAAGGGGAGAGCTCTGGCGCTTAATGGGTTAACTGCCCTATCTGCCCATGTGTCTAGTTAACCCATTAAGTTGCATTACACTTTGATGCACCCTTCTTTAGTATTTTACTCTGTCTAACGCCAGACGATTTTATTCGTCAAGGGGAGAGCGCTGGCGCTTAATGGGATAAAACACCGATTTATATTGGAAACTGTAGGGAGCCTCCTTAATTGTCAGTTGTGAATATTACTCGAATAGAATGCAGTTTGATATATGCTTGAATTAATACAACGCAATTTGTTATAATTATCATTTATAGACCCGGAACGGAGAAATTCGTCAAATTATTACACGAAGTACTGGGACGAAGCCTCTTGGGAAGTATCGTCACTGAGAAACCTACTAAATGGAGAACATACTTCCCGAATAATTAAGCAATACAATTTTAATTTTTTTAATTTATATCCGAGTTTTTAATTTTTTATTTATATCCGAGTTCTTGACGTTTCCCCTTGAACCCCAGTGTACTCTTTGGATCATTGAAAGTGACGTGCATAACAGTCCTCTAAAGTCTTTGTTCTATCTTTTTGTTCGTGTTTATGCAGTTTTGTGCACGGTGCACGGTCAATGAAGACATTGTATTGCAGTATAATGAACGAATCAGCCAATAGCAACGTTTCTGTTCGGTCATTCAACCATGCTATTTTACTATTAAAAAACAAAGGATATTATAAATACTGATTAAACCGAAGACAAAGGATTTGCACGGTGTAAAGGCCATGTTACACGGTGCAATTGTTCTTGCAGCTTGCAATGCAATTCTACTCTTTAGAGATGTAAAATTGCCAAATACGAGTCTTCATTACACTCCACTGATGTTTTCTCAACATATCGAAAATTCTTCACTGGTTGCACTAATTAACATCTCTCAAGAGTAGAATTGCATTGCAAGTTGCAAGAAAAATTGCATCGTGTAACATGGCCTTAAGGTATGGCTCAACATAAAATCCCAGCTAATTAAAACCGCTTTGAAGTTTGCTGAGTTTCCAGACCATGTCTCGAAAGACTATGATGTGGTATTGAAATCACCCTCTAAGTCAGATACGATGACGTGAGGCGTGATTGAATGATAAATTTCATACTTGCATAAACTAATTAGCTCTCTGATTGGTCACCTTGAATTTGAGTTAGCCTATAATATGATCGTATAATATGATCGGGTATACAGTATACTGTTTGATATAGCCTCAGAGTTACTGGAAGAAATTTTGAAAATCTATATTTCCTTCATGGAAATAAAATGGATGCAATTATCCATAATAATTGTATATTTCCATAGTATGGATATAGTATCGAAATAGTATGGATATACTATGGATTTAGTGGTGAAATTGCAAATTTCGTAGTATGGATTTCACATCTTTATCCCAATGAGTAAAGTCAAGATGGAAGTAGGCTAAATCCCCCCCCCTCCCCTCCCGCCAAGAAAAGATTGGAGAAAAACAGTATAATATGTAGATTCCAGATTGCTACCTTGATGCAGTTGATGCCTTAGTTGTTCTATAAGGAAATGTATGATTAAAGGTATTTGTTCACCACGCCAGTAACAATGAAACACGTGCATATTGTTTGTATGATTCCGAATTTTAGTCATTCTTTCCCAATCACTTTTTCAACAGACGAAAATTCTGTTTACCAATTCCAGATAACCAAAGCGCTATTTCCTAGTATTTATAACAGAATTTTTTCGTGAAAAATTTTACATTGGTTACTGGTGAAACGCCATTTTTAATATTTTTGATTTATGATGATGACAGCTGCAAGATAGTCAAAACGTCGAATTAAAAATGTTAACTGTTTTTGGAGTGTCCATTGTTTTGTATTTTTTTTTAATTACTCAGTGGTAACCGTAACTTAAGGGTGAGTAAATGTATGATTGTTTTGGTTTGGATAATGTTTTGACTGCGTTTGACCACCACTTCGAAAGGTTATTTTGTGAGGATTTCAATGGTACTTTTCGTTTTAAGGGGGGGGGGGGATAAATACATTGTTGAATTCTCGCTGAGATATCTACGTCAGAAACAATTGAATCGCCCCCCCCCAACATATTTGGGAAAAGAAACATTACTTAATTAGTGGTTGAGCTGACTCGGAAAAATTCCAGTTACATCCCCTTATTAAATTAGGGCTAGCGACGCTCCTGTACATAGCAGACTGAGTAATCTTGACAAGTAAGAAGTGAATTTCTTTTCAAACACTTGTTTTTTGGCAAGAAGGTCATCTCATTGTACGTGCATTTAAGTCATTTGTTAAAGTGATTTGAAAACATGTACACCACAAACTATCTTAACTTCATTTTTCAACATGCTTTTTCTCAGTTGTTGCCCAGAGGTTGCGCGGGGCCCGTGGCGAAACGTTCATTAAATTGTCCGACGTATTTTTGTAGCCGCTTAGGCCCCCACTTTTATTTCCGAGAGCTCTATAGCCGTTCCTCCCGGAAAGACGCATTCAATATCACAGTAACAGGTTCGGCAAGTAAATTTGCAAACGATTTCAACACCCAATTCGGTAGATTATCGGGGCCACTTGATTTATCCGAACCGATACGCTGTAAATGAGACAACACTTCTTCGACAGAAACAACAATTGGGGTATCGTTTTCAGATATAACAACCACATTATCGTTTAAAGGAGGGTAATTAAGTATGGGTTCCAAAAACGTGTCATTTATCAGATTACTAAGAACAGTGGGATCTTGTGTATCCTGTTCTAGGTTTGCAAATATATTATCAGGTGTTCCCATGGGAAGACCACAAAACCGTTTCACTTCCCTCCACCAGTCCTTTGGCTTAATATGCTTCATATCTTTGACCTTATTTTCAAAACACAACTTGCGACACCTTTTTCTGGAACGATTGACTTTGTTTCGTAACATTTTGGAAAGCGTTTGGTTACCTTGGGCAAAAGCTTTTTGCCTTTTATTAATGATAATAAGGGTTCTCAAGTTATTATTCATCCATGGTCGATCGTTGTGGTTTGTTACTACAGCTTTCATTAACAATTATTCGCCGAAGGCGAGGTGATTATCGGGGAATATTCGCCTAGACGAAGTCGAGGTGAATATTCCCCGATAATCACCGAGCCTGAGGCGAATAATTGTTTTAGTATTTTTGCACAAGCTTTTTGTGTTTTTCTGGTCTGAATTTATTTTAATTTCGCTTATTTCTTTATCACTAACTTCAACAAAACGGCTAGCCGCCATTTTGAAAATTTCGATTTTGTTAT